TTAAAACTGTCCAAAAGGGAGACAAAGTCTTTGGTCTCAGAGCAGTCTGCAGCATCAAAGTGAATGTTAAAATCACCAATCAATAAAACATTATCCAGTTTTAAAATAGAAGATAAAAAGTCAGAAAAATCTTTTAAAAAGGCACTGGTAGGGCCAGGCGGGCGATATATCAAAAATACAGTAAAGAAATCTATCTGAACCAACCCTGATTGTTTGTGATTCAAACGAGGGAAAAGACTGGGTGTTTACAAGGTGACTAACAAACTTTTCACGATGCAGGGCTGCTAATCCTCCACCGCACCTTTCCATCTGGGGGGTCCCCACCACCACACATCCAAGAGAGCAAAGTTCATTCAGGTGGAAAAAGTCATTTTTATTCTGCCAGGTCTCAAGCAAAAACATAAAATTCAGATCTTTAGCTTGAAAAAGTTCATTCAACACGAGAGCCTTATTTGCAATAGATCGAGCATTCAGCAAAAGCATCCGAAGTGGTGGAGGAATGTTCAAGGCCTGCGGTGAAGACAGAGGCACTGAGATCAGTTCTCTGGCTTGAGCGCCAGAGTAAAAGTTGGATTTCCAACAAGCTTTAGTCCAGCATTGAGGACGGCAGGAAGAGAGAACAGGCTGAGGACAATGCCACCCTGGAGGCTCAAGCCCCCCACCCCCGGCCACTGGATGCAGACACCGCGGCCGAGCAGAGCGAGGAGGGCCACCAAATCCAAAAAAAGCTTCTCCGTCTTGTTGATGCTCCCGCATGGGACCCTCTTTTCCTGTATTTCCTCCCAGGATTTCCTTGACGATTGGGGCAAAAAGATATGATGCAACCCTGGCACAGAAAAGGGGAGAATTGGCGGAGGAGGAAATGAACGCCGATACAGTACATGCCAATGTGCGCACCGCAGACACGGACGTAAAAAAATGATCTCTGCATGGACCAGTCCGCTGATGTCTGCTTCGAGTCCGCATTGAGTCCGCCTCAAGTCTGCCCGAGTATGTGGGGACCTTAAGGGACCCACCATATGACTTTTTTACGATGGTTTCTGACTAGAATAATATTAAAAACATGTCTATGCACGTAACAAAGCCTAAAAACACAACTGCTTTCAACTTGCAATTTCTGTACAGCCAGATTTTTATTAAAAAAACTCTAACCTGTCAGAAAGAGCCTCAAATCATTCCTCCTGTGGGATGTGTTCCATGCCTCAATTGTCGAGGCAGCTGCCTTGAGCTGTGGCAGAAAGGTTGTCTGTGTTTCTCAAACCCTGGGTAAGGGAGGCTGTCATGCTGTAGAAGGAGTCCTAATGGGCCTTGTTGGCTGGTAGGACACTGAAGGCAGCTGAGGAATATTAGCAAGCCAAACAGACTGCAACCTTGGCTGTTGCTGAGGCAAAAGCTCGGATGTGGGAGGAGTTTGGTGAAGCCTTGGACAAAGACCCTTGATTAACACTGAGGAAATTCTGGCAAACCATCTGTGGCGGCTGAGGCAGGGAAAGAAGCACTTCTCTAACAACTGCTCAGTGAAGGCAGGGTGCTGTTGACCTCAACCAGTTATGTCGTTGGGAGGCGGAAGGAATACTTCTTGGATCTTCTCAATCCCACCAGCACATCTTCCATGGAGGAAGCTGAGTCTAGGGACTTCGGGGTTGGTCTGTCCATAACTGGAGCTGGGATCACAGAGTCAGTTAAAAAACTCCATGTTGGCTGGGCTCAGTGGGTGAATGAGATCCGCCCTGATATATTTCAATTACAGGGGCATCACTCTCCTTACCCACCCCAGTAAGGTCTATTCAGGGGTGCAGGAGAAAAGAGTCTGATCAAAGGTCGAACCTCCGATTCAGGGGCGGCTGTGGCAGAGTGATTAGGGGAGTCATCCTGGAAGTGGAAGGTCACCTGTTCGATCCCCCATTACAGCTGTCTCAGTTGTTGTGTCCTTGGGCAAGATACTTCACTCCTAAGGCCTCTGATGTGTGTCCCATCAGTGTATGAATGTGATTGGCACTGATTAGTCTTCATAGTTGATTGTACATGTTAGCTTTGTAGAAATCTATAGAGTGCTGTGTGAATGTGTAAATGAGGGCACAGATTGTGGTGTGAAGCGCTTTAGGTATCCTGCTTGGGTAGAAAGGCGCTATACAAGTACAGTCCATTTACCAATCAGTAGGAACAATTCAATTCAGTTTATTTATATAGCGCCAAGTCAAAACATACATTGGGCCTCATGCAAGAACCGTTCGTATGCACAGATTTGTTCTTAAGTTGTGAGTACGAGTGATTTAGGAGAATTTGTGGCATTCACCAATGTTTTCGTATTCTAAGATTTTTTTCAGATACGAACAAAATTRACGAGTGGTCCAGACCTGTCGTATATTTTACCAGCAGTCAGTCTGCTGTTATCCAGATGGGCTTTCCTCCCTAATAACTTTATATTTCGTTAGTTTGAAGATATTTTGAGTTGAAAATAAATCACACTCCATAATTATGTTGACAATAGGCTATTCTGCTTGAATTAGAGTTATAATTTTAAATGTAATAATTTAGACTAACAATATAAATTGTCCATCCGGCCGGAATGAGACATTCCCAGACCAGAGGGGGTACATAATCCCTCCGGCGAGTCCTGGGTTTTCTCCGAAGTGCCAGACATATTTTGAAAACATTTTAAAATGCTTATTTCAAACCCACATCTGGGGGAGGTGGCACGGTGCGCAGCACTGTGGCTTCTGAATAAATGAAAATGATTTAACACAGTTGTGTATACATTTGGCAGCTCTTTTTTTATCCCACAGCTGACCTGCTAAAAATGACAGATTTTCTTTTCTGGATCTCTGACAGCAGGACTTCAATCTCTGAACTCGTAAAGTTCTTTTTAGTTTTTGCTGTCATTTTCATGAATGGACACTTCCTTGTATCTGAGGCAGGAAACATAGCCTTATATGGTGTTTTTGGGGTGGTAATTATGCTAATCTCCTCTCGCTTGCACGAGCAGCTGGATAGAACAGGTGAATTTACGCAGCTCATTTAAGCACTTTTCCTGAAGATAGAAGAGTTTGTTGAATCTGACGTGACATGTTCGTAAGAACCCTTTGTACGAACAAAAGTAAGAGAAATTTAGGAGAAGAATACGAACATGTTCTTGCATGAGGCCCATTGTCTCAGGGCACTGTACATGAAAAAGAACAATCTAAAGAAGAAGCCAGCAGACTGCGTTGAATCATTTCATCACAGTCTCCCATCCTGAGCAAACGGTGGAAAGGAAAAACTCCCCATTAACAGGAAGAAACCTCCAGCAGAACCAGGCTCAGGACAGGCAGCCATCTGCCTCGACAGGCTGGGTTGGGGGACAGGAAAGAGACACAGCTAAACAGAAGAACTGGTCCAGGACTCGTCCAGGTGCACCTTCTTCTGGAAGAGACAAAGAAAAAACATGAAAGAAATAATTACAATAAACATGTAGAGAAGAGAGACTAAAGACAACAGCATAGTGATGAAATGTGTTCAGTTTGTGCTCCAGCAGTCTAAATCTATGGCAGCAGAAATGAAGAACAAGTCAGGAAACCCAAGTCTAACTATATGATTTATCAAAAAGGAAAGTCTTCAGTCTAATCTTAAAAGTAGACAGAGTGTCAGCCTCACAGACAGAAACTGCAAGTTGGTTCCACAAGAGAGGAGCTTGATAACTGAAAGCTCTGCCTCCCATTCTACTTTTAGAAACTCCAGGAACCACAAGTAAACCTGCAGTCTGAGAGTGAAGTGCTCTGTTAGGAAAGTATGGAACAATAAGATGTTTAATATATGATGGAGCTTGGTTGTTAACAGCTTTGTATGTTAGGAGTAATGTTTTTAATTCTATTCTGAATTTGACAGGGAGCCAGTGGAGAGAAGCTAAAACTGGAGAAATATGATCTCTCCTTCCAACTCTCGTTAAAGCTCTAGCAACAGCATTTTGGATTAACTGAAGACTTCTTAAAGAGTTTTTTGGAGCCCAGATAATAAATAATTACAGTAATCCAGTCTAGACGAGATGAATGCATGAATCAGTTTTTCCGTGTCATTTTTGGACAAAATGTTTCTAATTTTAGTGATATTACGCAGGAGGAAGAAGGCGGTCCTGGTAACAGTTTTAATGTGGGGGTTAAAAGACATGTCCTGATCAAAAATAACACCAAGATTCTTTACATTAGAACTGGAGGCCAGATTAATGCCATCCAGAGAAGGTGAAAGGCTACAAAGTTGATCCCTAAGATGTTCAGGTCCAAAAACCATAACCTCTGTCTTATCTGAGTTCAGAAGCAGAAAGTTAAGAGTCATCCATGATTTTTATGTCTGTAAGACATGCTTTAAGTTTAAGTAGCTGGTTGGATTCATCAGGTTTTGTGGATAAATATAACTGAGCATCATCAGCATAACAATGGAAATTTATCCCATGCTGTTTAATAACTTTACCTAATGGATGAATGCATATATAAAGTAAAGAGGATTGGTCCAAGACAATGTTGTGGCTGTTGGTGAAAATGCTAACTAAAGTAGTTTTTGTGAGTAATAGGTTCACTTTCTATTTGTTTTGTCATCAAAGCTAAATAGTGAAGGGATTTGTTATATGTGTATCCACTCAAATCCAAATTCACCTGGGGGTGTGAGAAAGAATTTATGTCCATCTGCTGGAATCTGTTAAAATCACTGAATATCTCATAAAGTCATTATGATTGGCCATTTTTGTACCAGGAAAACCAAGGGTGTAACATGCGTAACATTGTTGAATAAAACATGCCAAATGAAATGAAAACTATCCAAACAAATTTTGTTTGTCAGACGACTTCTAATATAAATGTTTTTTTATGCTCTGCTCATTTTACTGGTCAATGTGGTCACCCCAAGCATGAGGTTGTAGTTCTAAGGAATTTTTGACACACTAAATGGAGTAAATAGACACCTGCCAGATTTGAGATCTTATTCTTCAGTTAAAAAGACTAATCATGTATGTTGCTGTGTCATTTGGTAAGGTTCTGATGAAAGACATCGTCACCCCAGTCCCACAAGAAGAAGTCAAAGCTGTGATCAGGAAGTGTCTGGAGCAGGCAGCTGTGGTCAACTATCAGCGCTTGTCAGAGTATGCAAAACTGGAAGGTATGTTATTGTTTTTAGTTTTCTTTTTTTGTTTGTGAAGCTGTAATAACACAACATGACATTTTATTATGGTTTTTTTAACATGGTATTTATTAGGGATGTGCCAGTACCGAGACCTTTATTGAGAATCAATCCTGGCCAGTTGTTTAATAAGTACCATGGTTTATGAACAGCACATTAGCAGTTATTTGTGAAGTTGAACATTTAATAAATTGGAATATGTTCAGTCAACTCTTCAGTATTGCTATCAGTTTTGCATTACTTCGGCCAAATTAGTTGAAACAAACAACCTTTTTGTAGTTTTCTTAATAAAAGAGAAATATCTTTCACTATTGGAGTTTATCAAAGCTTTTGCTTCAAAGCATGGCCCGAAGGACATGGTTTAAACTAAGTGAAATTCAGTTTAAGTTTAAATTGGATGATTAAGACAGTGTATTTAATATTTCTGGATGTTTTTATAGTGAAGTTACCTGGGGCCTCATTTATAAAGAACTGGATAGAATTAATACTTAAAAGTGAACATACAGTCAAAAGGCAGAAATGGCATATGCCAAAAAAAAAATCAGATTTATAAAAATGTGTACACGCACACCTTCAAGCAATTTTTTTTATAGATCACAGCTGCGACTCCGAGTTTGCGCTCAAGATCCTGCCTCATGTTCTGCCCTCTACACGCCACACTCAACCATGAACGGTCAAAGAACCTCATGATATTTAAGGTGTATTTAAATGAGTCGGCTGATCAATGACTGTAATTTACACAGATTTTCCCTCATTTTGCAGGAATACAGATGGTTAGAGCAATCTCACAGATATTTCAAAACTCATCTTCAAATTTATTTTTTCTCAGCGCCTGTAGGACATTAAAAAACAATAAATACAATTAAATAATCCAACCATTGTCCTGTTTTTTAGCTAGAAATAAGTTCACCACTCTTCCGCCCATTTCCTCCTGCTTTGCACTCCAGCTTATGCTGTTATCAGTGGCTGAGCACCCCCACGCATGAGGATTACAGACATTAAAAAGTAAACATATTGCTTTTGTACTTTGTGTTGAAATTTCTCTTGTTGAGGAGTGTTCTGTGAGGGTCGTCTGAGGAGGAGGGAGGCAGGAGGGAGATGGTGATGCGTGAACTTTTATCTAAGATTTAAGTTGGATTAGAATGTTGTTTTTATTTGATAGGTCCTTATGGCTGGGAACAACAATTGGAGGAAAGGCACAGTTGCAATTATGCAGGGCTGGATCAGGGATCAGGAAGGAGAAACTAAATAGGAAACACAAGGAATCAGAAATCAGCAAATACCCAAGAATAAAGACACTAGAGAAATAGGATGTACATAAAAAGACACAGACAATGATTTGTTTCTTTTCCTGCTAGACAAAACTTGTACCACACAGTGACCCCTAAATTGAGGTACATATTAAATGGTGATTTATTACACTCCTTTTTCCTTAGAAGGACTGAATAAGAATGGGACATCAATTAATTTTATGAAGACATTGTCATCTAAGGGTGCACAAAAATTGATTCATATTTCATTTAGTGTTTCAAAATCAATTAAAAACAAAATAAAATAAAGCAAATCCAGTGGCTGTCAGCCTCCATTTTGTAACTACGTGGGATGTCCTGATGTCACCACACAGCTGATTATGGAATGTAGGCATGCGTCGAAAGCCTCAAAACAAAGAGGAAACTACAAAAATGGAGCAAAGAGAGATTCAACCATCCTTCAACCATATCTGTTAAAGGCAAAGATTTGGGTTAATTTTGTTTTTTACTGTATGAGTTCAAGTTTCACATACTGTAAGCTTCACTGTGTACAAGGTTTGCAAAATGAAGATGAAGCACTTTGGGAAAACAACATATGGGCTCACATTATTAGTTTTGAATGAAAATTTGATTTTGAATTGAATTGTGGCCCTAAAAAAATCAGAATCGAATTGAATCGTGAGATACGTAATAAAATATTTCTAACCCTGCTGTCATTGTAACACCATATCATCACAGTTAAATGAATGCAATTTTTGTAAACTTACTAAGGACCAGCTTTACCTTTGGATGGATAGGTATACTTTAAGCATTTGTTTGTGTTGTATAGCTTGTCAGAGGTTTAGAATTGTTACTAAAACGCCATAGTTATTAAATTTGATCATACATTTTATTATTAAACAATTAAACAAGAAGACATATGCTTTTAAATCCTTCTTTTTCAAATTTAAATAATTCAGTTGGGGTCTTTATAAAATGGAACTGCATTGCTTTGGTCTGAATTCCTCCTTTATTGTAACTCCACAAGCCCCTCTTTCACCTCTTTTCTGAGGTGTCACTTAAAGCAGCTCGTTTTGATATAGCTTCTTTAAATCCAAAAAAGGTGCTTCACACCCCACCATCTCCAACTTCCAGAGCAGTCCATTGTACTTTGAAAGAGGGTTTTACGACCATGTAGGGAAGTAGAAACATTTTATTTACAAATTAAAATGGGTCAAAAACAGAAGACTTGTCCACCCAGCCTTACATGTTGGAGCCAGAGTCTTGTCCAGAGCCTGAGGAGAATGAAGACGAAAAAATTGCAGTTGGTAAGTTCATGTCAAGACCTTGCTTGGCAGGTTAGTCACAAATAATTTGACTTAATCATTCAGAAAACATCATAGAAGATAGAGAAAACTGAACGGATCCAAACAGAATATGAAGATATCTATGGCTACGTTCACACTGCAGGTCTTAATGCTCAATTAAAAGGAAAAAAAAAAATTGTATAGGTCCTCTGGACGGGTTCTTCTTTAATGAAACGTTTCGTCTGTCTTCCAAGAGACTTCTTCAGTCTGAGAGTTTCAGGCAAAATTCAGGCTTTTGAGTCCTGCCTCCAGGTGACTGATACTCACATCACATGGCTATCGTTCCCAGGTGACTGATACTCACATCACATGGCTATCGTTCATAGGTGACTGATACTCACATCACATGGC